TATTAAAGAGATATATGTATGTATGTATTATGTTTATTTGTTTATATGCCTTCGCTTTTTTATTTCATAATCACAATAACCCTTTATGATATTATATGACCGACATAAATCTTGAGCAATCAAACCATTGAAAACGCGCACGCGTAACATTGCGCACAGTAGCAGAGCGACTAACAACAACTACAAAACCAAATACAACAACAATAACAACAAAGTTTATATGTATGAATAAATACCACACAATCCTTTTCATTCCTTTATGCCTGCTCTTCTTCATCGACCATAAAACATTTGCATTTAGCTTAAGCGTAAAGTTGAAGTTCGCTCTGAGACAAGTTGCCTAGGCAGACGGTCAGTCTTTAGCCACGTTTGTAAGGTGGTATGCATTAGGATTAGCCAAGCGCTGCGACCGCGGCGTACCCTCTGGGCAGTGAGGCTGATATGAATAATCACCGCGCATAATCATTCATGGCATAACGAATGGATATACATACATACATATGTGCAAATATATGTATGTGTTTACTACTTAAATACATTTGTACATATGTATATCGGTATTTATGGGTACATTTGTAAACACGTTTTGTGAGAGTGTGGCTGTGTGTGTTTGTGTGTGGATGAGTTTTTATGGCGTGAAAGCAAATTATGACTGGGCCAACCTGACCAATTCTTTATTGTCATCAAAACCTAAATGCAACTATACATACATACATATATATATGTACACATGTACGTGTGAGTACTATAAGCATCATACACGTATATGCACATACATATGTACATATGCCTAATGCTTTCACTTGCCACACACTTCAACTCGTCGCTCACAATTAGTATGAGTTTACTTTGTCAAGCATCCGCAATTGCAATTGCAGCAGCAACAACAACATTTATGACTTTGAAATAGGCTCATTCCCACCACACTGTATACATCTGTACATACATACATCCATATGGACAGTGTTGGCCAGAAGTATAAGGCACCCCACTAATTACCGAATGTTTTTGTTTTAACAAGTGACGTAATGAAGTTTTATTAGTAAAACAGTGAAAATACAATGAATTAGTGATAACAACATTAATATTTTGTGGGTCCACCCTTCGATTTAATAACAGCAGCAATTCACTTAGGCATGCTGCATACAAGCTTTGCACATTCGTTCGCACTTATAGCGTATCGCTCGTTAATTAAGGCATTCTTTAAGGCAGTTTTTGATGTTATACTGTGTTCCTTAATCTTGCGTTTGTAAATAGCCCACATGTGCTCAATGGGATAAGGATATGCAGACTGTGCAGGCCAATCTAACAAAACAGTGTTGTTATCTCTAAACCGACGCACCATAGTCGCTGATTTGTGGCAAGGAGCATTGTCTTGCTTGAACCCCTTCTAAATTAGTATCGCCGAAATTGCGAAAGACAGAAGAACAGCTTCTAATACATCTATGTACTTTTGTCTCTCCATGCGTCCACATTTCGCCGACACCATCAGCGGCCATGCAGCTCCAGATCATAATGCTGTCTCCTCCATGCTTAACAGTGGGTACCATGCAACCCGGATGATATTCTTCTTCAACCCATCGACTCACGAACGTCACACCAGGTGTTCCAAATATCTGTAGAAAATAAAAAAATTATGTTTTTATAAGATTTGTATTATGTCTTCAGAATTTCTTTAGGTTAAGAAGCTATGGCTGTTACTACTTTAAGACGATCTTAACTAAGCTTACCTCAAAGTTTGATTCAACAGACCACATTCGACCAATCTTTTTCCGTGTAATATTGGTATCAGCGAGTCCATTCCATACGATTTTTCCTATTCTTTTCTGAGAGCCACGGCTTCTTCGGACCTTACATCGTTTTAAACCTGCTTCCAGAAGTCTGCTTCTAGCTGTTCCAGCAATAACTGGCTTACTAAATTCATCCGAAAGGGCAGCTGTAAGTGTAGAAGAACATTTTTGGCGATCTTTGAGAGACCCGCATATAAGTATTTGGTCTTCTCGTTTACTGGTTAGACGCTTTCTTCCACTTTTTGATTTATTATTGTGGGATTTCGTCTCCACAAATGGCCTGATAGCACATTGGAACGCGCACCGCGAACATTCCACCAAATGGGCAATCTCAACCTGAGACTTACCTCCTTCACTTGGAATTTGAATTCTAACTCTATCATCGTAACTGATTTCACTTTTTTGAGGCATTTCGGTAAATATGAACTGTTTTTATAAGATTGGTAACTTTTCACTAAATATAATTTACATTTTCACTCTCAAATTTTAGATGTGAAAATATTTTATGAATTTCTTAAAAATGACAATTTTTAGGTTTAGCTTACCCAGAGAGCTATGACTTTTAATATTACAAAATTTATTTGTTTAATCAACAGTTAAACACTCATTAGAGACATATACAAAGAGAAGTGGTAATTTTGATAGCCACATTTAAGAATACTTGTATTTTAGTGGGGTGCCTAATACTTTTGGCCAAGACTGTATGTTACCGCTGTTGCAGTTGCACCACTTTTAAAAGCCACCTGTTGGTTGGTTGAGCAGCTCAGTCTGCAGCTCTAGTAATGATGATGTATATACAATACATACATATACACATACATACAAATGTTCGTATGTACGTTTGTGTGGTTGCATGTGTAATATTTTTCAGTCATTCATACATTCTATTATTGGCTTAATCTGTCCACTATCCATGCCATTAGCATTTTATCTTGTTCAAAATGACATTATGTCGTGGTAAATTATAATCAATTACTATTTGCAACAACAAAATATATAATATATACATAAGTTAGTATTTATACAAATATATATACTTATGTACATATGTATATGTATGCATAGAAATAAAGTAAAAAAAAAGTTAGCTAAGAAATAAAGTTAGTTAAAAAATTAAAATAAATTTGCTCGCAGCGAGATTCAAAACGTGAATATCACGCATGACAGCGAACTACAACACTTGATTATTGATGTCTTTTTTTCAACAAATGTCGTGTCTACTATTAAAATTTCGTCCTCGAAATATCTGTGCTTAACCGGTAGTAATATAAATACTAGTTTACCGAGTAGCCCGCGGAGAGGTGATCTAGGAACTGTTGCCCAGAGTAAACTGAATTTATGTAGGGCACACTGCTCCAACCTGCTCAAAGACAGCGTGAATGGAATGCCAGGAAATGGCAAAAATGATTTCTCAATCGATGACGATCAAATAGTTGCTTCACTGCCCGACTATGAGTGAATTTGAGTGGCAATCGCCCGCTTGAAAAACACCAAAGTGGCGGTGGCCAATGGATTCCCAGCCGAGCGATTCAAATGTGGATGTCGGCGAAGAATTCGTGATGCAAGTGGTGAAAGCGTGACAGCCGATTGGAATCTAAGATCTGTTAAGGGTTAGGTGTTCGTAGTTAGGCAACACCAGGCTGGGGAATATTTTGAGGTTACAACGATAACAGCAACAAAAAAATTGGAACCGAAGTGTGCTCTGCGGTATACACAAAAAACAAAAAAAAAAAATAAGGTGTCAATTATCGTTTCCTAATTCTCCTCAATATCCCATATAACGTCCTACCGAGAGTTTTGTGTGAAAGACTGAAGACCACAGTCAACATATTGTGGCTGTAGACCTAGTAAATCGATCATTGACGAGATATTCGCCATATTCGCAAAATATTGGAAAATATCCCTGAAAACAGAATCAACATGCACCCTCTCTTCGTCGCAAAACTTATACGGTTGTGTAAACTGACTTTAAACAACACTTAAAAGCTCCGTCACAATCGGGTGGGACCTTTCCGAGCCGTTCGATATCAAACGAGGTTTTAGACAGTGTGACTACTTATCGTGAGACTTCTTTCGTTTACTGCAGGATAAAGTAATACTTGTAAGCGCTGCACAGATGAATGGAAAAGGTAAAGTCTTCGATGTATAAGAGTGCACAGCTGCTGGTATTGACATTATAGCCTATAACAACTGCGTTGTGAGCTCTGCTTTCTTCGGTCTGGATAAGGAAGCGCAGGATATGGGTCTTGTAGTGAAGACGAAATATCTCCTGTCATCACATAAATAGTCATCGCATGCGTGACTTGGATCCCAGTCGTAGATAACTTCGCTTATCTTGGAACCAATATTAATACCAACAACAATGTCAGCCTGGAAATTTAACATAGAATAACTCTTGCACAGCAACAGTTCATACTCTGGACTGAAAGTAATCCATAAATAAAAATTTCGCTTGTTGAATGAAGACCAAGTTCCACAAGTCGCTCAGCATTATGGTGCGGAGGCCTGGGCGATGACAAACATCTGATGAGTCGGTGTTGGGAATTTTTGAGGGAAAGGTTTGCTAAAAATTCATGGTTTTTTGTGCTTGGCCAGCGGCGAGTACAATAGCCGATGGAATGGTGAGCTGTATAAAATAAATGGAAATTCCAATAGAAGTGCTAACCGGTTACTGGCTTATTGGCGGATACGCCGGTCGACTAAGTGTGGAGGATCCCAGGCGGCGCAGAAGAGACAGTAGAACATCTTATATGCGGAATTGTGTTGATATTTTTAAGCCCTAGGTGCGTCACATGGCATCTACCCTCTCTCTCGTAGTTGGTCTGGTCTTGTAACCTAACCTAACATAACAATATTGTTTCACTGCAGACAGTTTTGATTGGTGGCAGAAACTTTGCGACCGTCTAATATAATTAATTTATCACACCAAACCCAGCTCAATCTTGCATTCATTATAGAAGAAGTCTCGAAAAGAGCCGTCTTCATAGCAAATTTTTAACCTTTTTTAATAAACGTACACTCACACATGCACAATCGCTTAAATGCCTATAAAGTAATAAACTATTAAGTTTCTTTTCCAATTACATACTCATGAATAATACCAACAACAATATTAAAATAGTTTATTCCAAATACATACATACATATTTACATAGAAAAATTGTAAAACTTTTTACAAAGTCAACAAGTCAGATAAAAATAAGTCCAAATTTATTCCCACACAAAGCCCTGCTCATCCTCATCCACATATTCCGCCACTTCCGGATATTCCTCGCTTTCATTACTCTCATCACTGCTACGCGAAAAGTGATTGAATACCATATCGCCATAACCATGTGGACCATCAGTGCAACGGCCCGCGCGCTCATCTCCACCGCCGTCACCGTCACCGCCGCCACCGCCGTGATAATCATCATACATAATATCAGCAGCGCCTTGACTATGAGTCTCATGTTTATACCTACCATTCTCTGCGCCACTGCTGTGACCGCGCTTGTGTGCTGCTTGCCCGTGTCCACCATGTCCACCATAACCGTTATATCCTGTGTGTCCACCATAACCTTTGCCTTGCATGGCAAGACTAACGATTTTGTAAATCGTTTGCTTTGCACCACCGCCGTGCTCCCTGCTCGCTTCTTTGCCACCGCCACTGCTACTGGTGCTTCGTATGTGTGCGTAGACGGTGTGTGTGTGATGATGGGTTTTAATCCGTAACGGTACATGTATGATGAGACGCTTATGTGGGGAACGCGCCTGTGACGGGTTGGTGAGTGACAGCAAAATGATAAGCGTAAGCGCCAAAAGCATGGATAGTAAATGAATGTGAAGAGCTTGTGAAAAGCGAAGGCTTTTGCGTATTCTGGTATTGGTGTGGTCGCGCTTGGAGGATGCAGCCGCTGGAGTATTTGAAAAGTTATTGCCGAAAGTTGAAATTTCGCTAGAATAAACTTTATGAACTTTTGCAGCCTTTTTTTTTTTTTTTATAAATCTTTGGCAGGGATTTTGCGAAAAGGATGTAATGGCGATTTACTTCAAGAAATATGCTTCTGCACTTTTATTCATACATATTATACAAGTATGTGCGTATATGTTTCATCTACAAAATAATATTTTCTTTCACCACGTTTCGCGTCTTCCACCACACACTGTCGATATCTGCCGTTGAACTGTTCAAATATTTTGCATATTTCGCTCATTTTATAGTTTAAACTCATCGAGTGTTTGTTATGTAAAGCTTCGATTGCCGCTGAAGTTCAGTGATCTGATAACGGTAATATTTATGATATATTTTGCAGTAATTAATAGTGTAGCAGCTAATGAACCGAGACTCATGTGTGAGCATAATATATGCATGTTTAAACACTTTTGCCCAATAAAAAGTGTCCGTTAATGATATTGAAACATTTTATTTTTTATTTTCCAAAATTTACATCTATGGATAGCTGTAGGGTGGTGTGGTAAGCATCTTATGCCTTTTTAATTATTTGATTCCCTCCGACTTTAATTTCTTCGACGATTGTAGTAATTGACACTAAATCTTCCACGCAGTTAGGTGTCTTTAGAACTAATACAGTCTGTAGTTCGCGCCTCAACTCCAAATTCAGCAGAATTAGGTTTTAAAGCAGTAATAATTAAATGGATGGTGTGACGAAAAACTGTCTGCTTAAGCTTACATTTGACTCCAGGATTTGAAATTTAACCAACTCAAGTAGAAGAAACGATAAGATCATTAAAAGAGAAAAGAAACCGGCGATTTTTCATACAGACGGCGTTGACAATTTTTTTGAACAAGAAAAAAATTTGCATAATTTGTATGTGTCGAGGAACCACAGTGTCGACGTTGGTTTGGCCAATTCCGTTCGGTAGATTTTTCACTCAAAGCTAAGCCACATTCAGGTCGGCCAAGTGAAGTTGATGATGACGATGTCAAGGCTTTAATCGAATCGGCGGCCGTGGTAGCCGAGTGGTTAGCGTTGCGTTTTGCCATTCGGAAGGCTAGGGCTCAAATCCCGGTACGACCATCATCCAAAAGTTATAGAAAATTAAATTAAATAAAAAATTAAGCTAAATTTTCAAATGTCAACCCCTCCGGTTGTATTTCTGGCATGAAATAATGGCTCCTCATAAAAAACCATCTACCGTTCGTAGGCGGCTTAGTATAAACTGTAGGTCCCTCTATTTGTTGGAAAAGCAACAAAATGCAAATCTACAAATCGGTGGAGGAGCTCGGCGGAAATAGGTTTCAGCGGTTACAAAGCGCCAATCGTATAATCGAATCGGATCGTCATGTAACTCAGCGTGAGATTGGAGGGAAGTTAAGTATACCAAAATTAACCGTTCATAATCATAAATGACGTCTTGGGCTGGTAGAAAAACTTTATTTGGAAAGCAAATCATAACTGGAGATGAAAAATGTATTGTCTACAATAACGTTAATCGAATACGATCATGGTCACAGCATGATGAAGAGTCACAAACCACTTCAAAGGCTGATATTCACCAAAAGAAGATTATGCTGCCAGCTTGATGGACTTGGAAGGGTGTGGTATCTTTTCAACTACTCCCAAGGAACCAAACGATTAATTCGGATGTCTACTGTGAACAACTGGAGAAATTGAATACATCCATCAACCAGAATCGGCCAGAATTGGTCAATCGTAAAGGTGTCATATTGCACCAGAACAATACTAGACCGCACACTTCGCGGGTCTCTCGCCAAAAACTGAAACTGAAATAGCTTGGAAACTGTTGATGTATCCAGCATATAATAGCCCTGAACTTGCACCCTCAGAATACCATTTGTTTCGATCTTTGCAGAACTCTTTCAAAAATGACTGGGTTCAGTTTCTGACAGATAAAAGCCAGAAGTTCTATGAGCGAGGGATAATGATGTTGCCGCAAAGATGGCGAACGGTCATACAAGGAAATGGAAATTACTTTATTGATTAAAGTGCACTATAAAAAAAAATTATTTTCTTTCTGGTCGACTTTTTTTGGGTCAACCCAATAGCTATCTTTCGACATAAAAATCTTTTGTTCGTTTGTAAAGATCCTGCAATTCCCAAAAGTCACCAACGGATTGATTTGAGCTCGTGTCATATTCTTTATCGGGTACCTGGGAAAGTTTTCGAGAAGTGGACGAGGTACTGATCTATTCAAAATAATCGTATTTATGGTTCAATTTAGTTCAAAGTTAGTTCGGCACATAGGTGGGGTTTCACTTATATTTGCAGGAAGACTCTTCTTCTCTGCGGCATCTGGACCAGTACTTTTTACTTGTAATTTGTTCTATCTATTTGATCTATTAGAAAAAAAAAATTAAAAATTTACGCTTCGGGTTGGTTGAATTTTTGGGATAACCCTAAATTACATACTTATGTTTTCTTAAAATGAACAAGAGATTCGGAGCCAAGTTCGATTTGTGCGAAATATAAATAAATCATTCTTGAATCATCGAGAGATTGAAAATTATTTGGATGATTTGGATATAAGCATCGAGCGTTCGCCTTTATCCAATCGTGCTGAAGCACGCGTTTCAGAGGCGCTGTCAGGTAGTCAGAGGCCTCTGCCACTTCCAAGTTCTTGTTGCCTGAACTTTGGAATTTTTTTTTGCAGATTGAATATTTTTCGAAGCAACAAAAACTGTCTTTATATGAGTAATTGTTTAACTAACCCAAATAAATATTGGAAATTTGTTTTAAGTCATAGAAATTAAAGAATTAAACACGAATATGCAGATTTTCAACTTTCTCCTCCTAAAATTTCTGCTTGACTAAAAACTCAGTATATATGTATGTGTATATACGAAGCGATTTTCGGTTGAGCTCCTGCTCCGATTTGTAGTGGCCACTCTGCAAATTCGAAACTGAATAAAGATTTGAACAGAGTTTTCCATGGCATAGATTTGAAATCAGATCTTTGCTTTCCCACAGCCAATCAGCGGTCGTACATCGAATGCCCAAACTCAATTTTAACGAGTTCATCTTCAATTAGACAAGAAATCTACTTCGTTTTTTGGTGTTATGGGGAATTTCTTACCGATCTATAGTATTGACAGCCCAGCGCTCTCTGTATACATTAATAAACTATACTTATTTCATAAGTGAATAGATCACCCTAGTTTAAAAGCAGTACTAATTTACATACACACATAATCAGTTTCACCTTAATCAAATACTGTTGGATGTTGCACGAAATGATTATGTATTTCTCTCTTCATATACAAGACTTACAACATACTCGTACTCCATACAAAGAGAGATGCAAATTTACTTGCACAGAGTTATTACCCATTTCGTGGTTTCAGAAATACAGGGCTATATGTAGACATCTGTAAAACTTTACCGTCAAACCAAACATGTTTTTTTTAGTTGAAAATTCAAACCAAGCATGTTTTGTTTTAGTTCCAAAGTCAAACCAAACATGTTTTGTTTTAGTTCAAAATTCAAACCAAAGATTAAATACAAACTTAAACGTCAAACCAAACATGTTTTAATTTAGTTCAAAAGTCAAACCAAACATGTTTTTTTTTTTAGTTCAAAAGTCCAACCAAACATGTTGTGCTTTAGTTCCAAAGTCAAACCAAAGATGAAATACAGGGCTGTATGTGGACATTTGTCAAACTTAACCGTCAAACTAAACATGTTTTGTTTTAGTTCAAAATTCAAACTAAACATGTTTTGTTTTAGTTCAAAAGTCAAATCAAAAATGTTTCGTTTTAGTTCAAAAGTCAAACGAAAAATGTTTTTTTTTTAAGTTCAAAGGTCAAAACAAATATGTTTAGCTTTAGTTCCAAAGTCAAACCAAAGATGAAATACAGGGCTGTATGTGGACATCTGTCAAACTTAAACGACAAACCAAACATGTTTCGTTTTAGTTCAAAAGTCAAACGAAAAAGTTTTTTTGTTTTAGTTCAAAATTCAAACTATAAATGTTTTGTTTTAGTTCAAAAGTCAAACCAAACATGTTTTGCTTTAGTTCCAAAGTCAAACCAAAGATGAAATACAGGGCTGTATGTGGACATTTGTCAAACTTAACCGTCAAACCAAACATGTTTTGTTTTAGTTCAAAATTCAAACTATAAATGTTTTGTTTTAGTTCAAAAGTCAAACCAAATATGTTTAGCTTTAGTTCCAAAGTCAAACCAACGATGAAATACAGGGCTGTATGTCGATATCTGTCAAACTTAACCGTCAAACTAAACATGTTTTGTTTTAGTTCAAAATTCAAACTATTAAATGTTTTGTTTTAGTTCAAAAGTCAAATCAAAAATGTTTCGTTTTAGTTCAAAAGTCATACGAAAAATGTTTTGTTTCAGTTCAAAAGTTAAGACAAACATGTTTTGCTTTAGTTCCAAAGTCAAACCAAAGATGAAATACAGGGCTGTATGTGGACATTTGTCAAACTTAACCGTCAAACCAAACATGTTTTGTTTTAGTTCAAAATTCAAACTAAACATCAAACGAAACAAGTTTTGTTCGAATTAAAAGTCAGGAGTTTATTAAACTGAATCGCTTAACAACCGTACAACGTGTTAGAGTTGTTAAAACCTACCACAAAAATGGCGATTCAAGCGTGGCCAATCGACCATTCACAGTGCCGATTGGGTGCTTGAATAACTAGCAGTGAACGGCGATTTTTCGACCCTGCGATTTGACACTGTTGTAATTTTTTTGTGGTGCTGCGCGAAAGAGAAAGTATACAGATGAACCTTTATCTCTTGAACACCGACATTATTCCTCAATTTATGGCTGAGATACCGCCAAATATGTGCCAAAAAGTGATCGAAAATTACCTCAAACACATCG